AATAAGTATATAAAAGTTTATAAATTTTTATAGAAAAATTAAAATCATCTTTTTAGTTTTTTTCATTGGCTGTTATAAGTTACAATATAATATAACATAATTAGTAAAATAATATATAATTTAATTAGTAAAAATATATAAATTTTTTTGGTTTTAATAACAAATTAGATAAAAAGATTTTTTTATTAATATTTCATTCTCAAAAAATATCTAAAAAATTTTGAAAAGATAATAAATACTATATATAAAGATAATAAATACTAAATATAAATATTTTAAAAAGAGATTTATTGTAACGCTTAAAATTTTGAAATTATGTATTCTTTCAATATACATATTGGAATAATAATAATATACACGTTATAAATTACGCGAAGAAAATTTTAATACAAATTAAATTTTGATATTAATTCTAACGATAAATTTAAAATATAATGTTAGATAACTTTCGATTACTTTCTTGTATTATTTGATTGATATATTATAAAAAAAAAATATATGATTTTTTTATTTACGTAAAAATTCCAATTAATGGAATTTTACATATACACATTGATACTAAAAGAAACATCGCAAATTTAAAATTTATCAAATACATTCTAAAGTTATCTGTCTACTTTTTATTAATTATTCAACTAATTAATGTAAATCTTTCACCCTGCTGCATATATTTTTCTTTATCTTTTTCTTATATTATATATATTATTGCTAAAAAATATCTAGATATATATTTATTATTTTTAATTTCGAAATTATAGAAGTTCATATATATATTTGTACTTATAAACAAATTTTATAAAAATCAAATTTTTTTTAATGTATTTTTAGAACTATATAATTTTTATAATATAATTATAAATATAAATTAAAAATCATATTAAGAAAATTGAGATATACTATATAATATAATATAATTTCTTAGAAAAGATATATTTTTAAATTAAAATAGTAATAGCGAGCTGTTCAATCTTTGGCAAAGATATAATAAGCTTTATTAACAATTTTATTTTTTATGATTATATCTATTTTTAATATCTTTAATAATAACTATACATAATATATACTATTTTTCATTGTTAATTATCTTTAATTTATACATTTAAATAAAATTTATAATATTATATTATATTACTAAAAATCTATGATCAATAATATTATAATATACTTAATCTTCATGATTATCATTGAATAACAAACAAATAATAATAATAATCATTAAAAGAACAATACATTCTAAAAAGTTTACTTTGATCCCATTCCAGGTGAAGAGGATGATGATGACGACGACGATGATGAGAATGAATCGATCCCGGTGGAATCAATTGCTCCAGTAGCAGCAGCACCATCTCCACCGGCTCCTGCAATTCCGGCGGCCGTAGAAGCCGATTTGAATGCTGCCCAGGAAGCGGAACACGCCGCGGAAGCTGC